TATGTCTGGTATTTAAATTCTGTTGCTTCTGTGTTTCTCTTGTCTCTCCTAACAGAAGCTAAAAATGCAGAGTGGAGAGATGACAAAAGATGACAAACAGACTTCTTCTGCTCAGTCCACTCCAAGCAGCACTCCCCACTCCTCTCCCAAGCATAAAACCAGGTACTCTGTTCCTGCCTCCTTTGGCTTCCTGCAGGCTGCTGAGGTGGGAGCTGCTACAAATAACCTTTTTATCCAGTGAGGGACTGTCTAAGGGGTGAAATTCAGAGCCTGCTGTGGGTTTGTGTTGGATAGATCCAAATGTTGAAAGCTTGTGGAACTTGAGCATATTTATCTTCACCCTGGGTGGTAACAAACTTAAGATAATTTAACTTAAGATAATTTAAATTGCCCCTGATAACCACATGTAAAGTTCCTGGCATAGTGGGGCCACTTGAAATGTCCATTCTCATGTTGTATACATCTCAGTGATTTTTCCCTAGGGGTTGGTTTAGTCAAGGATCCTCTACTTCTATCACTGGCCCAGACTTTGCCGTGGAAGCTGGTGGGGACAAATTGCCATCTGAAAGGTGGAGCTTTTTTGGACCCAAAGCCATCCAGAAATCCACCAATGATCCAGGTATGTCTTCTAAAATCTTCTGCCCTGCAAGAGCTAGGGGAGAACTTGTCACACAACAAACTTGCTAACTATTTCTGGAGCATTATCCTGCTTGCCTTGTCACTTTCTAGGACCACCTTGTGAATGTGTGCTATTTGTATCATTTCTGTGCCTAAATATAAAGCAGTTTGGTAGAACCTATGCCAAGGATCTGAAAGTAGAAATAATTGTGCTGATCTGCAGTGTAAGGGCAGGGGGTGAAGGTGACAGCTTTTTACTCTTTCTCTGCTGTTGGGTGGAACCAGAACTGGAAGTGCCAGATGCTGATGTGGAATAGACTGTAGAGGACATGAAGCTGCTGGGTCTTGCATAGGCTTTCTGTGGTGTTGAGCAAAAGTGACATTGCTCCCTCCTGGCAGTAGTGGAAAGAGGACTTGGCTAGTTTTCCTAGCTCTTACTTGCTGTGATTTCTTTTTTTCATCAGGAGGATTTACCATCCAATCCTATAAGGGTGCCCAGAAGCCATCCCCAATGGAGCTGATGCGTGCTCAGGCTACTAGGATGCCAGAGGATCCAGTCACCTTCAAGCCACCCAAAATGGACATTCCAGTCACAGAAGGGAGGAAACAATCTACACGTTCCCATAATATCAAACCTCGGGATCTGAACGTGCTCACTCCCAGTGGGTTCTAGTGAAAATGCTTGTGTGTCTTTAGCGGGCTACAGGGTGTCTTAGGCTCTGCTTCCCTGGCCCGTTGTGCTGCAGTGACATAGGCAAACCTCCCTTCCAGCTCTTCATCACAGAAAAGGAAACAGTTGTGACTGTCCTCATAAAGCCAGTCTTGGAAGAATTCCTGCACTAGTACTGGACCAATGTAAACCACCCTCTCTGCTGTATGGCACCAGTTTGATCTGCTAGGCTGCGTTAGGTATGCTTCCCAGTACACTGCACCACAGTAAAGCCTTGAACCACGCTTTGTGGGACAGGACTGCATGTGGTGTGCAAGCAGGCTGGCTTGTCTGCCTGTAGTGTGATTGTCTTGTCCTGCTCAGTGCTGAAGTACCCTCAGGAGGACTGTGGTTCTGTCTGGCATATACAGAACACCAGCAGAAAATGATGAAAACAATCAAGGACTAAAAATTGGACCATTAACTGCCAGAAGGAAGTTGCTTTGGGAATGTGGTGGGTCAGATTAAATGTGGCACTCCCTTACTATCCAGTGTGACCTTATAGTTCAACACCTAGTACTTTGTTCTTGGAATTTTTTTTAAAGGAAAAGTGGAGCAGTGCCAAATACTGTCCCACAGAGCAGTGACCATTCTAAGATCCTCTTACTAGAAAGGTGGGGAGCAGAATCTAATGAGGCTTGGCAGTAGCAAGGAAGAACTGCTTCTTTTCCAACTCTTCATTTTCCTTCAAAAAGGTGAAAATGACCAGAGCTGGTGTGGCTTGAACCAAGTAATCCTCCTCTCTTCTTTCTGCAAAGCAACACTGTCCTGCCTTCTCCTAGACAACAGACTTACAGATGTTCTGGCAGTCTGGGTGCTGCTTGATTTTTTTTGTTTTTATTTTTTCTGGCCTCTTGTATGGATCATGTAGAAGGATATTAGACACCAGGGGCACTTCTCAAATAGGGTTTTTTGTTTCATCAGCATTAAATGCATTTTGCAGGGCTGGGGGAGGGCAGATCAAGGCTAAACATTCCTCCCTGCTTCAATACAGCTATATGTAATTGTTGGCATAGTCAGAACCAGTTACTGGGACCAGATAACTCTTGCTTTCATGAAAAGTGGAAGGAACTCCTGGCTACAATCTAATCCCTTAAGCACTACAGGCAGTGTTACTCTGTCATCTTCACCTGTCCTGTGGCAAACAGGCCTCTTCTTTCTTGACCTCACGATTGTGTTGCAGAGCTCCTCAGCCAGCAGCAGGCTTCTGTAGTGGCGAGGTGGCAGCAGCAACCTTGCATCTGGTACTGAGAGCTTCTCTGTTGCCAGGACTTTGTACAGAGGTTACTTAACAGCTGGTAACCATGGAGCTCTGGGGTTTCTGCCTTCTTAAACCAAACATTCCTCCTGGCTGAGCAGGCAGGGCTGGCTCACTTGGCTAGCTGCTGTCCCCTGTGAAGGAGCATGTTTTGTGGCTCTGCTTCCTCTCAAGCTTCAACAGCACTGCCAGTGATGTGATGTGTTGAAAGTCTCCCAACCAACCAAGCAGCTTTCACTGTCACCACTCATTTGCACCTTGGCAATCAGTCTCTCATGTGACATTAATTTATTTGTTGTCTGTATTCATGTCTCTAATGTGTATGATTTTTTTTTTGTTTGTTACAAGAAAATAAAATCCTTGTGAATGGAGGTCCTTGGTGTGTATTAGCTCTGGCAAAGCGCTGTGGAAGAAATGTGGGGCTGTCCAGTGAGTGTGGGGTCAAGGTTCTGCCTAATAAGGCTCTGGCAGCACTTGCACTGGGGTAAAATGTTTGCTCTGTAAAACTTGCCTTTGACAGGAAGACTCAGTTTAAAGACTGTCTTGATCCTGTCTTAGGGCTTGTGCAGATGAAACTAAACATGAAATCTGTGTTTTTCTTGAGCTGTTCAGATGGTGATTCCTCATGTTCCTGAGATTGCTTCTCTTGCAGCTTGTGTGCTGTTTGCACCTGTACTGTGGAGGTGGGCACAGGTGTGGGAGCCAGGCTGGGATTCACCCAGAGGTGCCCAGTTCCCAGTGGTGTGGCCATCTCTGCTTTGCCTGCCTTTGAAAAGCTCTGGTTTGAGTGCTGTTGTAGCATCTGTAGCTGCCAAAGTACTGCTGATAGAGCACATGTTTGTGGGTTGGGAATGTCTGAGCTGAACACTGGTGTTTCCTGTGCTCCTAGGATGTGAGCAGAACTGAAAGTGATTAAATAAATCCCGCAGCACCCAGGTACCCTGGTACAGGCTGCTGCTGCAGGTCTTGGTTACACAGGCTAATCTCACAGTTTAGTTTGGAAAGGCTGGGGTTAAAGTGGGGCCTCGTGGTGTGATATTCTACTTTCTGTATTTTACTCCAACATCATTCTTGGGGATATGACCAGTATATCAGAAAATAACATCCAGAACTATGGACTTCTTGCTGGAATGTGGCTTTTCTAGTCTAATTGATAGAAGTCTAATCCAGTTAAAAGGACCTAACTGGAAAATGTAACTGAATAAGTGTACCATGAGGAAGAGCAGCTTTCTAGAGCAGGGAGGACTTGGAGTTTGCACTCTTGGGAACACTTCTGGCTACTAGTCCCAAAACAGACATCACTTTTCCCTGGATGGTTTATCCCTGGATTAAGAGAGGCAGTGTCATGCAGATGAGTGCTTCGTTCCTACAGCTGGTAGTAGGGAAGAGGCTTCCTAAAGAATAAGAAGCAAACCTGTGAGCCCCATGTCAGCCCCTTCCAAACAGCTCTGGGATAACCAAAGCCAGGCTTCTGGAGGAGGCCTTGCTGTGCAGCAAGCACCAGCTCTTCAGGGTGTGCAGGACTAATGTCAGCACTACTCCATTCCTGGCTGTGACTCTGCTGCTCAATGCTCTCAGGCTCTGGTCTCCTCACTGGGACCCTGCCAAGGGCAGATAAAGGGCGGGATGGTGGGCAGCTTCAGGAGTCTTTCTCCCACTCCCAACCTTTGTTGCTTCTGAACTGTCTGAGGAGACCTTCTGTAGAAATGCCTAATTGCTCTCTGACCTCAGCTGTGATTTGAGTTGACAGCAGTGTACTTGAATTGAATATTCATCATAACACACGCTTGCCTGCACTGCAGACACTTCAGTGTGTTCTGGAAGAGGCACAGCCTTTTCAGCAGATGCTGCTATCCAGTCCTCCCTCCTGACATGGTAATCACCTTTGGCAAAGTCATGTAGATGTATTTGATGTGGAACAGAAATGTTCCTCTCCTGAGGACTGAGCAGCGTGGCTTGGGGGCCTCTGCACTGTTAGTGCTCTCACTGCAGCCAACACTTGCTTTTATTCTTAAATGTTACCACCTTTTCCTAAACATTGAGCAGTTATTTTGGCATTTTGCTTGCTGGGCAAACTATTGCCAGAGTTTATGGCTGTGTTAGTCTAATGCTGTCCCAGGGTACAGCTGACAGCACTGCACTTCCTTTGGGCAGGGCTGGCACCAAGATGGAAGAGTCTCAGCAAATACGCAAATAATTTATTTTTTAAAAGTGTACAAAGTGCCTTGTAAAACTGTAGGATGAGGAAAGTTTGAAAAGAAATTCTGAGACAATGTAAACCAGACATTTTTCCAAAGAAATGTATAAACAAACCCACATGACGTATGACACCTGAGACGGCAGCATGAGACGGGGGTTTTGATGGGGTTTTCTACACCAAGCTCCTTGTGCCCCCTGCCACAGTGGTTGTCTCCATCAGGTAGCAGCGACAATGAGGAACAACTCCTGGAGCAGGCACAATTTCTCCATGATCTGCAGGGGAAAAGGCTGCCCCAGGACCTGTTGCATTCGGCTGATGAAGTCCTTTATCCTCAGTTGAATGTCCAGATGGCTGATGTTATCCCTGTCCTGCAGCTTGGGCTTGGCTTTCTGAATGATCAAGTCCATCCGGTCGTTGAGTGAGCTCCGTAGGTGCTCTGCAAGAGGAAAGGCTGGTGGGGAGAGGCACCACCACCCACAGCAGTGGGCTGTCTGACCTGTTCAGGGACAGACTGCAGCATGCAGCGCTGTGCTGAGGGAGCGGGTGGGAACTGTGCTGATCCTCTCCTGGTTATCCTCGGTGCTTCTGCATGAGACTAGCCTGGTGGAAGGAAGGTACTGTCCCCTCCTGGAGCTCAGTTGTGCACGGAGAGAGCCCAAGAAATGGGGAGGGGGCAGGGCTTGTAGCATCTTTTCTTCCCTGCTAGTGGCAGACCAGACAGCTGTCCACCTGCAAGGGAGAGTCTGCAAAGAGCTTAACAACAGTGATTGTCTAGGGCTTCAGGGAGAAGAAAACTCAATGCACATGTGATGGTGGGTTCCTCTGAATTTCTCTGTGAGAGCCTTAACCCTGGGCTAAAGCAGATGAAGTTGGGAAGAGACTTTAGGAATTTTCTGGTAAAATTACTTTAGGGAGTTTTAGGGAGTGTTTTGCAACTGTGCTGCTCTCCTGGGGTCAGAAATACTGCTCCTTCCATGGCTACTGTGAGTGGTGCTCCCTGCCCAGTCTACTAAGCACTGAGAGTGTCCTGGCTTTACCATCCCTTCAATTTCTGCTTTTCCTTCTAAACCACTGAATTCTTCCACCCACTGTGTGTCCAACTTAGACAACAGTGGGTACAAAGCACTCCCTTGTCTACTTCTCAGTGCTGGGATTGATCCTTTAGGAAGTAGGCTATTTCTTAGGGGCTAAATTTGGCAAAGCAGGTTGGGTGCTCTGCTTGAGGCAACATCACTTTGCTCTGACTGCTGGGAATAGCTACTAATATGGACGGAAGCACATCATCTTTCTAAAACTCAGTGGCTGTAATTTCAAGTGCTGAGAAGAGAGGAGGAAGGGTACTTTGGCTGTTCTACTGCAACCTCTTGATGAGATCAAGTTTATTAAGGCCAGAACGGGCTGCTTACCCAGTATTACATTTTGGTAACTCATCAGCAGCAAACTCAAGTACTGCAGCATCTCATCCCATCTTTGCCATGTTGCTGTTTCACCCTATGACAGGAGACAGTATTTGTTTATTAGAAGAGGTTTTCTCAGGAGAGAACAGGGCAAAGGAGAGGTTGGAATGGATACCTGGTGTTGTAGCAGCAGAGAGGAGTGGCTCAGGAAGTACAGCAGCTTGGCCAGAGACAAGGGCAAGGTCGTGGGCACATCACAACTATGCTGGAACAACAGCTCTAGGAGTTTGCAGCGCAGGAGCTGGCTCTGCATGGTGTTTAAGAAAGCTTCTCTGGAAGATAAAGGGTTTTACCCTGAGGGACACAACACAGCCTGACCAGGGACAACTGCTCTAGCATGTTCCTGGTGTCCTGCTGGTGCTGATCTGGTGCAGAGGCTGGCCAGTAGTGCAGTGGAAGGAAAACCACCAGATGTGATAGACCCTCATTATGCAGCTCAGCCATGGACATGTTTATGTCCTTAGGTCTGACCTGTGGCAACCTGTTGGTATGGTCTGTGAAGCAGCTTAGCCGCTTCACTTCACCCTG